GTTGAACAAACATAGATCAAACATTGGTAATACAACCCATTACCATTTATTACCATTTACAATTGCAACCATTTATTATAGTTAACATTTAACTTATAACTATGTATTTACAGCAATTCACCACAGTTTTCAAACTATTCAAATCGCCATGATGCGAACGACACGCAAGGTTGGGCAGCCATGGTGAGCCTACGGTGAACTTGGCGTTCAAAACAGAGCATGCTTGCTTATTGAAGGCTGTCAGCATACTGGTGGCTATATGGTGATTCATATGGAGCTATTACAGGGGCGGATACAGGGATGGCAGGGTTGCTGTAGGGCGGGGGTTAAGCTGGGGTAGCTAAATCCCGGTATGGCTAGTAAGGGGATAATAGCTCGGCTTGTAATGTGGTCAGTTTCGCACGGACATATTATTCATGATGACGAAACTACAGCATCCAAACAGACCTTCAATGCCTCAGAATTAAACGTATCAGATCACAGCGTCGAATACAGGTGCCGAAATGTGGCGAAGAACGACAGTTATGATTTATATGCATTTCAACTCTGTACCAAATGTGCGCCTTGCTTCCACGTTTGTGCAGCTATGACTGCTCCCGTGCATTTACAGCAGAAACTGCTGTGATAGTCCCCAAAGGTAATCTTCTTACTATAAGCACAGCTAGAGTGAACGCCAAAGACGAGTAAGGTCAGGTTAGGGTTTTGGAAGTTATATATATATATATATATACATATATATACATATATATATATATATATATATATATATATATATATATATATATGTATGAGCGTGATGAGGGTTATAGCTCAGCTTCCGAGGGTGAACTTGTGGAAGGAATTCACAATCATAAGCGTTATATCGTCCACGTGCATATACCCACCCGTATTTACTGCACGCACGCCCCATGCTGGAACTCCTAATATCCTACTAATTAGTAAAGACACTGGTGGCAGAGCTTTGGCAATGACAGCTACGCCAAAAAAAACATTTGCAGATGTCCTAGCAGATGAGATTTTCACGAACCGTCTGCACTGAAATGGCCTTGGAACGGAAATAGGTCACCAATCAGACCGTTTTTGACCATGTGTAACACAGAAAGTCGAGCACTGAAATCTAGGTGTTCCGTCCGTGCCGCCCGGACGAGGTTAAAGGGAGGTGCGTTATGTTTTTGGTTTTCCCAATAAACGCCTAAGTGGAGTTTGACAATTATCTATGGTTAATTTCGGTTGGTAAATATGCATGCGGGTCTTGCAACAGCTTTAATTTATTTGGTTTTATCAATCCCTTCGATGGCTGTGCGTGAAAAATACAATTCTAAAAGATAAACCAATCAGCGGGCAGGAAAGAACAAATGCACTGGTTATATGTAGCGAGTAACTGCACGGTACAGACATGGCCATTATTTCGGTTACTAAGCAACGTAAGCAATCACATTTCCCTAGAGCCTGGCACGGCCGATTGACACGATACAATACATGTCCCTCACCCCGGTATATAGCAGGCCGACATGAGCTGGTGCGCATCAACTGACCAGCCTCACCATACATATTAACTCGCACACTTGCAGTCCTCGGCTGAATGTATTTTAAAAAAATCATCAACATAATGGCCACCGCCATCGCTGCGTTCGCAAACTGCTGTCAGCGCTGACGGGCGACATCCTCGAAAAGCCATTGGCTTGAGCTAGCGATACCTTCTCAACAATGTCGACGTATGTAGTTGTGAATACTGCTTGGGGGCCACCCGATAACTTCGTTCTTCCATACTAGCCAAAGAGCATTTGAGGGGGCTGTAGCAATATCTAGTCAGCGGACGCGAATTTGTAGAAACCGACGACACCAAAATTTGTAAATCGAAATTCCCTTCCATCTTACATGCACAGTCAAAAATCCAAACCTGACGAGACACACTTCCTTTAACGGCCATCACCAAACGCACAGAAGAAAACCTTCGGGTCACCGTAGTTTTGAAAGCTTTGATGACAAGGCTTTAGAATAAATGGTGGTGACAAGATCTGTCAGCTCGTTGGTGGTGACGAGATCTGTCAGCTCATTGGTGGTGACGAGATACGTCAGCTCGTGGTGTTGACGGGATCTGTCAGGTCGTTGTGGTGACGAGATCTGTCGGGTCGTTGGTAGTGACGAGATCTGTCAGCTCACTGGTGTGTTGACAAGATTTGTCAGGTCATTGGGGGAGATGAGATCAACAGCTCTCAATCCAGAAACAAAACATTTACTTTCTTCCGAAATTATCCACGAAGTTGCAAGAAATCATTTCGAAGTAAACTGTCCTTTGAGAAGGCAACGACTAGCTAGCCTGTGACTGAATGCTGTAGTCCGAAATTTGAAAAGGATTGTACAAACTGTCCTGTCCATAGCTGAGGGGGATATTATTATGGCACCGTCATCTTGTAGACACGGCCTATCGTTTTAAATTGTATATATATATATATATATATATATATATATATATAATTATGTGTGTGTTGTGGTGTGT